AAATAACTATTCAAATTGAGTGAAAATGAAGGCTACAGGGAAGTGTTAACACTGAGTGCCCCCTGAGTTTTTGAATCACTCTGCGATGGCCATTGCAATGCAACGACCTTTGCCATATTTGATATTTCCTTATTCATATAGGACAAAAAATTTCGTTAAAATGTATTAAGCCAACTAGCCGCTTTAAGCAATGGCAGATTTTGACCATTAAAATCTCATTAGCTCTATTTATGCTGATATTGTAAGCATATAGATAGTATGCACACTTACATACATACATGTGTTCTTTCCAATGCATTGGAATCTGAATTTCTAAAAATAAAAAATAAAATAAAAAATATGAATTTGTTTGACAGTAGTAACGAATTTTAATTTTTGAATTTTCAATTGTGTCGTTATTGCGGAGGACCATCGGATATGTACATTTAACAGTTCCACTTCTACTTCTTTAACTTACTATTCGTTTAGTCGTCATTCGTTTCAAATCCATTAGGACTTTATAATACGAAGCAGTGTGCGTAATTAGATGTTAATTTGTAGTTGGCTAATCAGCCTTTGGCAGTTGTCATTACTTTCATTTGCAGCGCAATGAAAAAAGAAATAATAACAAAAACATGAATACCAGTTATTCTGGAGCATATGATCATCTACATAATTAGCCTTTCTTATAGAAGTCTGGTTTGAATGAGGGAAAAGTGTTGAAAGCTGCGCTCAGTAAATTAATTTGTAAACTTTGTCCTGCAAGTGACCGTACTTGTTACTACATTTATGCGAATAACATTTAAATAAGTGACATTTTCGCTCTGCTTCTAGTGCCTCAACTTTTGTTTAAGTTTTCAATAATATAGAAAAGAAATTTAGAATATTGAATGGGTAGTTGTTTTTTGTCATTTATTTATTTAAAAATTTATTTAAAAAGCATGCAAAATTTATTTAAATAGTACTGTGCATGTCCTCTGAAATAATTCTTTCCGATGTTAGTACAACAAAGTAAAAGTGCAAATCGATATGCAATATACAGGGTGTTCTAGACCACCCATGGTGGAAAATGTTGTTTAGCGAAAAATGCATGAGCTTATGGTCGTATTACCGAATTGGTTTTCGACCGAAAGTGGGATAAATAGACCGGATGTGCATTACTTTAGCTGGAGGTCCATTCTAGAACAAATATTCTAGTTAGTTAGTTAGTTAATTATGTCATTTCTTTTTGGTAGGACAATGTCGTTTCTTTTAAAAGAGTAGCCGAAGAGCCAGGCCTGTCTAAAGCCCTCCACCGTTCCCCAGTGCTTACTGCGTTGCGAGTGTACCCACTTAGTAATTATGGCTCTCGAAGAGGACCAACTTAGACCACAGAATGGTTCAGGTCCCGAAAAGGCAGTTAGCGGTCCTTCACGTGCCAACTCGTCAGCAATCTCGTTGCCTTCGTTTCCGCAATGGCGTGGTACCCAACACAGTGTTACCATGTCTTTGGCTGTTTGAAAGGGCCTGGATGGCTGCTTGTCTATCTGAAAATATATCTAAAAATGCCTTTAAACCCTTTTCAAGGTTTAATTTTGCGCAGCTTAAGATTGCGACTATTTCAGCCTTAAACACCGTGAGCTATTTGCCCATGGGAATTGCAAGTTTGGTTCTGGGTCCAAAGATGCCTGCATCCGCTCTGTCCGCCATCCCTGAACCATCTGTGTACCAGTGTACATATCTGAGATCAAGGGCAGGGAGCTCATTTGCCCAATCTTCGCGATCGGGGATTATCACTTGGAATTTTCTACCAAAGCAGACCACCTTAGTCATGGAATCAGAGATTCCGCATATTTCCAACCCTGGTGTCTTCCCAAGAATACCTGCATGAAGCTTCTTTGCGAAGAGGCCGTCGTTAGATAGTCGAAGTTGCAGCTCCCTCGTGTCTGCTGTTTCCTGGATAAAAATGTGGAGAGGAGTACATCCCAATAGCGACTCTAGAGCCGCAGTTGAACACGTTCTTTTAGATCCAGCGACGGATAGACGTAAAAATCTTTGCAGTTTGTTATGGCGAATTATGGCAGTTTTTTGTATTTTCTTCTGCCACCACGCTATGGATGCAATCAATCAGCTTAGAGCTCAATCCTCATGTTATACCAAAAGTCTTCTGCAGGCCCACATGGCCTGCGTGGCTTTAGCAACCGTTCTGTCAAGATGGGAGTTCCAATTAAGTCTCTTATCTAGCGTTATCCCCAGATATTTGATCTCATCGGAGTATTCAAGTATTGTCCCTCCAAGAGTGACCAAACCAAGGTTCGTTTTATACCTTGTAATAGGTCTGTATGATTTAGCTAAGTCAAGGGGCCTGTTGCCAGATTTCGAAATAAATAACACCTTCCTCCATGCATGCGGTATGTGTTCCCAGCAGTAACTAGCCCTAAATATACTAATCAAGGGATTAATGATATCCTCAACACTTCTTTACAGTAGTGCTGGGAAGATCCCATCACTACCCGCTGCTTTGAAGGGTTCAAAAGACTCTACCGCCCACCGTACCTTGTACCTGTCAAAGATGGAATCAGAGCTGCTTTGACTTCTCACTCTAGGAAACCTGTGTTTCGAGGAGACAGGGGTCATCAGATCATGCTCCACCTAGGAACCTGGGAAATGCACTTGAAGTAGGTGATTTAGAGTCTCCCTGTTATTGTTGGTAAAGGTGCCATCTTGCCTCCTTATGAGGCCTATCCCATTGGAAAACTCCTTGGATACAATTTTAGGCAGACGCAAGGCTTCAGGCAACGTTTCTATTGTTTCACAATGTCGCCTTCTTCGAGCGCCTAATAATCTTCTAAAAAAAGTTTTTTTTTGACCGTGCTAAAAAAATATACATATATCCTATTAAAAAAAAAAGCCTTCCGGTCAGTTTAACCAATAATACGATTGAAAGATAGGTCATTCCTGACATGGATATTCGTATTTTTTCGTTTTCCATTTGAAACATTTCTACTTACATACTTTAGAAGTCTATATAGGACCAATTGAAGTTCGAAGGTCATTTAGAGGTTGAAAAAAGCACTTCCGCGAAAAAAGTTTCAACCAAAAGTTGCGTTTATTTTTTTTTGCAAAATCCAAATATATGGTAAAACATATATATTTAATTTCAAAAATGGGCTTCCGGTCCGTTTAAACCACTTCCCGCCAAAACCGGAATCCCCGAATTGAGAGTTCATGACCTCGCATTTGCCAATAAAATAATTTTCCTTTTAGTGGTACTTTGGAATCAGCAAAACAAAAAAATTACCACACACTACAAAAGATCACAAATGTTTGAGGGTTTCGTTAACTTCTTTTGACGTATTTATATCACCGGTCCCAGATGGTGGGTATCCAAAAATGCTAAAGCGTGTGGCATTTGGTCACGTTCATACTCTTCGGAGAAAAATTAAGGTAGTCTTCATTCCCAAACCTGGAAAGAATGACTATGCGCTGGCAAAAATATTCGGGCCAACGAGCCTGGCATCATTCATACTTAAAAATCTGAAGCGCACGGTCGACAAGTACTTTAAATCAATGGTTTCGGTGAACAGCCCCCTTAGGGTTCATCAACATGCATACCAAGCGGTAAGATCTGTGAATCTGCTGTAAATGACCTTGTTACAAAGATCAAGGTGGGTCTAGAAGCAGGTGACTTCGTTCACATGCCAGCTTACGCGGATGATGTTTGTGCAGGATCATCAAGTAATTCTCTCTCATGGAGGTCTGCGCTAAGACCCAGAGAATCCAGAATAAGATTGATGAATAGTGCACTTTGTAGGGTCTTGCTGTCAATTCCAGCAACCCTTGTCTTGTTTACATGGAAAACAAAATTAAAAGGTCTCAATATTCCAGTGCTTATAGGTGTAAACCTAAGTCTTTCCGACACGCAAAAATTTAAATTTATTAAATCTAAAAATCACAACTGTCTGCACCACGATTTGAACTCGCGGCCAACGCGATGTTAGAGTCGGATGTCTTTCCGCGGAGCCATCTTCATGCTTTACGAGTAGTAAGAATTTGTGCATTAACTTCCCAACTAGCACACCCCAAGTTTCAACTGTCCCGCTGTGCAGTCGTTTTGCAGTATTTCAGACAGTACTGATATTTGTAGGGCGGAACTAGCGCTTTGCCAGATTGTCTCTACACTTTGCTGCAGGGTGCATATGAAGATAGTGGAAAATGCAGCGTAATAACTATCATTACTACGAGTATAAACATAACCTAGCAGCAATGCGTATAAACATATTATAGAGCGCATATGCAGATACGCTGATGCCAAAGGCAAGCCACCATAATGATGTATGCAAAAATGCACGAGTAATACCTACATGCATCCATATACATATATACATTTATGCATATACATATGTTTATGCGCTTTAGGAAATTTTCACTTCGAGCAACTGCAACTTAGTCCAAGCAAGCATGAAACTAACCTCTTGCCTAGCTAGCTTTTGTTGCATCGGTTGCATCCGTGGCAGCTTGCCCGCTTTCCCTAAGCGCTTAGCGAGCGTCAGGAAAATGTGTTAGTAACATTAGCATAATTTGTTTATTAGTAGTGGCAACAGCTGTGTGCTGCTGCACAAATGCCAGCCGTGCGGCATGCAACACATAAACTAAACAAATAGCACACTCGTACGCGTAACTATTAATATACGCGGATATTTTAGAGGAACACATGCTCCAAATGTGCAATCATACATATGTACATACATGCATACATACGTATGTTAGCAATACAACGACCTGCATATCTATGTATGTACGTATGTATGTCTATTTCCTTGCACCCAAAGTTAGCGAAATATTTTTTGTGTATATAATTTTAAGGCAGGCAGTTAAGCGAAATCATAGTTTCACGTCTTGCGAGTGGTTAGTTATGCGCTTTTGATGTTAAATTGCTAACAATTTTCATATTGCAGCTGTTAACTTTCAAACAACGATTATGGGTTAGTGTTAGTCTACGTATGTATGTATGTATGTTAGTTTGTGTGTGTTGTACGAACCCGCTACGGTTTGTATATGCCCAAACATTCCAGCAAACTCATCATCACCAGACTGGTAAATACGGTCTGAGCTTATATAAAATGCATCGTCATTGTAGTATTGTTGTAGAAAACTGCTCGTTTCATCGTCGATGGTGTCTACAAAAATACATGAGGGAAAAAGTATGAGCTTGGTAATGAATACACTACATAATTTTGATTATGGTTGTGAGCGAAATTGGGGTGATGGAAATTATTAAAGAAAGACTAAAATTTACATAAAATTAAACTAATTAAAATAATTTTGTTTATTGTGATATAAATAGATCTAAAACGCAGCTAAAAGCCTTAAATTAAGTCCAACATAAGATTCGTTCAAAACGAATTTACATATATGAAAAAATAGATAAATAAATAAATAATAAATATTAATTTTAATTAAAAGTTTTGGTCATAAGAAACTTACTGTATATAAAAAGCAAACATAAGATCAGAGATCTTGTTGAAAATCGGTCCTGTTTTATTGTTTCTAATTCAGCAAACTTTAACAATAACACCCCAAAAATTTTCATCTTTTTATTTAGAATTTTTGGTAAAATTTTAGGTAAGTAGGTAAATTACAAACCTTATTTGTACTTAGGGTAATTTTTGACCCTTTGAAACTTAACTTAACCTTTTGGATTAAACAAAATATCTGGAGCTGATTTATTGATAATTGTGTAGCATTTGTCCTTTATTTTTCTTCACATTTAACACATATTACAGGTTTGTTGTGGTGGTATTTGCCTAGAAATTTGTTGCACATTGCACGTTTAACGGATTGCTGGTTTGCGCTAATGTCATACTGACACAAGAAATATCGACCACGTTAATTTGTGCTGGCTCCAGTTGGTTGTGAAATGCTGGCTCAAGTGATCTGTGTTTGTTCAACGAACTGGGCGGCATTGCTTCGACGGGGAATTATTCCTCCCAAAACTGAATGAATATTTAAATTTCCTCTTTTATGTG